TTATACTTCCTTCCACCCACATGTGCTCACATTGCAGTCTGTTTTTCCAGCAGTTGTTGTCACGTATTTTACTGTGCATTTGTAAAACCTGTCAACTTCAGTGGTATGTGAATGATTTCTCATTGCAAATTCCTCCATGCTCACCTATTTTCACTTTCTATCACTCTTGCACTCTAGTTTCTTTTTTAAAAAAGGACAAAAATTGTACTGTGGAAATCTCAGCATGACTGTTTACAGAAGTATTTCTCAACTTGGCAGCATGAAAAAAGTGTGAACTTCTAACTCCTAGAATTCCCCAGCCAGCATGTTAGCTGAGGAATTCTGGGAGTTGAAGTTCACACATCTACTTGTTGCCGAGGTTGAGGGACACAGATTTACAGTTTCTGATACTACCATTTTAAAACACAGCTAGATGTGTCTGAAAACAGTGTAAGCATATACTATGATAATATATGTAATTCTGGATAGATTTATTGCAGAATTCCCAATGTTTATAGGGGATGGGAGGGAATGGTTCATGCAAGTGGCTGGCATGCGCACATGTGTGCAGCTACATTTGCATGAGCAGCATGCACACATGCACGCTGCTCATGCAAATGGAGCGAGTGCACACATACTCACCCACTGTTCGTGAAAGTGAGGACATGTGTGCACACGTGCGCTCACCAGCCATTTCCATGTCTACTTGCAAATCCCTCACAACCCACTAGTGGCTGCGACCCACAGGCTGGGCACCCTTGATACTGATCGTAACTGATCACTTTTGCAGAACATCAACTCTGATTTACAAACTATAAGGGCGGGGCATTACACCACTATGCTTGTTTATGAGATGCTACACAGTGTGAAGCCAGCTATTGTGTTTTTTGTCACGGTTTATGATTCAATGTTAATTAAAGCCACCCAACTGTGATGTATTAGACAAGCCATAACTGAAGAAGGTATGGCTTATGTTTCTTTCCAGTGACTAAACAGTTAAAGTAAAAATACAGAAACACATAAATATATGTAAGTACCTTGGCAGTTTTTAACTTCCTACAATAGAATACCCCTGCATCTGGCATAATTTTTTACTCCAGATCTTAACAGAGATAGCTTCAGGAGTTTTCTTCCCAACATGACTGCCCTTCAGTTGTGCTAGATCACAACTCCCACCATGCTTGGCCTGCAGGCTCTTCATAAAACTCTCCAGATGCTCTGGTTGGCCTCAACCATTCAGAAAAAGTACTGTTTCCAAAATGTAGTCCCTTCCACCAACATAGAAAGGTTGACATCCTATCGCCAACCTAGCAGTGAACTACCAGTCACGCCAGAGCGAGTAAATTTAACAACCTAAAAACTATGAAGAAAGTAATCTTCTTTTCCTACCAATCAAACTAGCTGAAGAAATAAATAAAGCACTATAAAAATGTGAAGTTGCCATTATCAGTGCCTCTTCAGGGTTTAATTATTTTCAATTTCCAATTCTTTTCCAAGCCAAAGACTGAAGCAGAGGTTGGTGCAAAGTATTCTATCTCCGTAAATGTTTTAACTGTTAGCACCAAACCCCACAACTTCACTTCAGCAGCACACCCACTATCATTTTAAAACCATAAAAACATACCATTATGTACTATTAGAGGCACTGATTTCAATTAGCAGTGTCTTCATTTTAATATTCACCCTTTGCATAGCCAGGATTGTTGTTAAGTGTCATTTGTCCTAGTAGACTGTAGATGTAAGCTGGACCCTGCACAGAATATCCATAAAATGTTCTATTGCAGAAAGAGCTACTTAATTTAGATTCCACCGATATACATTCACCAGTCTTCTACCAGTGTCACATTAAACTTACATCAGTGCTTGTTTTCTTGTAGCGTTCCCACAGCCTGCCTTCTAGGTGAAATTACTGTACAATATATAACCGCGTCAGAAAGAAAGGCATCACATGGAAGGATGAAATTGAGAAGGAATCAATACAAAGAAGATAAATGGTTCTTTCTCACAAGCAGCAGCATAGCAAACAGAGGCAAGTTTTTCCCCCATGCCTTCTCGTTTCTGTTTGGCTCATTCTGAATTGGCTGGAAAAAGGTATAAAAGGGGTATGCTTCCGGTAAGATTAAACTTTTTTATGGTGTTATTGATCTCTGATTTTTTTAAACCTTTATAGTACAATCCTGTGTGCATTTTTTAGAAGAAATAAGACTACATTCAATGAGGTTTGCTCCTTAGCTAGAACATCTCATCAAAGAATTGCAACCTCCTCAAGTCTTTTTTTCCTATCCATCTTTTTATTTCATCTTATGCATGTATTAGCTATAAACATTAACATCAAAAAGATCTGTGTTCTGTCTTAAATCATAGCTATAAAGAGGTGCTAATGAAAAGTAAAAAAAAACTTAAGCCAACCATAACAAAGAAAAGAAGTTGTTTTATCAAATTAGCTTATTCATATTAAGTTAGCCTTTTAAGGAAAAAAAAAGTACTGGGGGTAAAATCAGGAAAGAAGTGTAGACACTACAAATATGAACAGTATAGAGTTAGATAAACTTAGATTATTATAATTTTTTTAAGGGTACCATTCTAAAATACATGGTATGTAATGTAATGGGACTTCTTTCCATTCCAAAATTCATACCATGTATTTTAGAATGGAAAGAAGTCCCATTACATTTTCTGGGATTGGAATAAACTAATGTGATTTTGCTCCTTACAGTTCTTCTTAGCCTAAGGATCCTTGAAATATTTTTAAGAAACAAATGATTTTAAAGCTTTTTTTAACAAAACACAAGCAGGAAGACGTTGCTTGTACCAGTGATAAATATTTTCATTCAAATTTGCTAGTCATCATCTCTTCTATAAAGAAAAAATGGAAAAGGGCAAATTGATAAACATTGGAATATTTGTTACAAACCCATCCTTGTGGGCATTTTATGCACTGTTAATAATAAATAGGCAAATTCCAGGCATTCATCATCTATCCAGCTGTGATGTGCAAAACTGTACTGAAATTTAGAGCAAACGGCAAGAGCAGCTGACACCCTTCCTTCCCTTAAATATAGGTTTCAGGAATTGTTCTGAAATGTAGCATTATCTGATCAGTGTACACATGTTGGGAGACTTTGGGGTATACATATGTTGAATGCAGTTCAGAAAAGACAAGCAACTCAGCAGTGCCTCTGCTGGCCCATTTGTGTTACAGTATGAAGGTGGGGTGAGAAAATCATTCAGAGAGAAGACATAAGCTTCCCTGACATTTTTAACTTTTTCTGGGCTCTGGGATCAGCTTAGAAACGGATATGGGCAAACGAAAATCCATCCTGCACTACAGAATTTTTCCAACAATGTTTCCACCATGCATGTTTTCTACCAAGAGAACAGGCAAACACAATGCCTTCTCTCTCTCTCTCTCTCTCTCTCTCTCTCTCTCTCTCTCTCACTCACACACACACACACACACACAGCCCTGCATGTCAGAAATCAGATGGGTCAAGCAAATGCCCATCATCCTAAAATGACTTTGGCTAGACTCCAGAACGGCCCGAAAGGGACCGTTCGGACAAGGTTTTAGGCAATCTATCTAAAATGTCAGAATTGATACTTTCTCTCCACCCTTGAGAGCATGATCTGACCTTCTTCTATGTCTCCCCTCTCCATCCGTACCAAGGTCAACGGCTTGACACCTTTCAAGTTCAACAGAATAAAAAGATGCACAAACAGCTATATAGGAAAGCCAAAAGTCAAGGTAAGAAATTAAGAGAACCCAGTGATTTCCAAAATAGACACGATCCACCTTGTTTCCACTTGGCTGATATGGCTAGTTTGCACACCCAATTTTTGAGAATGGGATTTTTTTTAGTTTCTCTCTCCCGCTGTCCCCACCACCACCACCACACACACACCCCACCACCACCAAGCACACATCCAGAGCTGGCATTTTGTCTCTGCCACACTCAGGGTCTGCCTAGAAAGCATTGCACCAAATGCCAGACCTCAGCAGGGCAACCAAGAGGCCAAAATAAAAGAAATCCAAGTCTGATGATGTAGAAGGAAATAAGCACAAGAATTTTTGACAGGGAGATGCATGTTATGGCAACAGTGTTTTTTTAAAAAAAAAGCCAATTCTCCAACATTCAGATGGAGTTTCTCTGACTCTCCAACCAAGCCTACACATTTAACAAGCTCAACCAGTAGTTTGGATGTGTGTGCGTGTGTGTGTGTGGGGGGAGAATTAGGAGAAAAGAGATACTATACAGTACTCTCCATGTGGCTACTTCAAAGAGAAAGATAACGGAAAGCACTACTCAGCAAGGAAGGCTGAGTAGCAAGCAGTCGTGGCAGATAAAACACAGGGAGAAGAACCAACCAAATCAGACACATTCACTTTCTATTAAAGGCGGGGGTGGAGGGAAGCCTATTACTCCGCATTAAGTGCAGCAAGCAGCTGGTTTGAAGGTCTCCCCTCTCCCCTCCACACATCGCTCCAACAGAAGGGCGAAGGCACAAGAGGGGCAGAAGAAGACGGCGCAAATCAAAAGCAGAAGTTGTCCGGAGAACAAACGGCAAAGGGCAGCGAGCCAGGCTCAAAGGTCTTTTTTTTTTTCCCCTCCTTCTCCCCGGTTCACCCCATCCAAACCGGAGCCCCCAGAGCTTCCGCGGGAACGAAGCCGCCTCATCTCTAAGAAAAAGCCGGTTTTTCCCTGCTCGGGGAGGAGACAGATCGGGTCCAAGAAGGGGAGGGGAAAATATATATCGTGCAATGCATTCTCTCTCGCCCCTGCCTTTGGATCCCAAACTGCCCGCACCCACCGTACACAGCCCGCCGGCCACGAATGACGGCGGAGCACACAGGCGTGCAAAAGCCAAGAGCGAGAGGCTCGTCCACCGAAACGGGGGGAAGAAGAGAGAGAGAGAGGCGGGACTCGGGGCGACATCTGCGGGGTTCCTTGGCGCCCTCGCCCGCCCTCCCTTCCCCCCAGCCTCTTTCCAGCCCTCCATCCCAGGCTTCGATTGCCACTCACCGGGGAAACACACCACGTAGTGGAGCACGGAGATGGTGATTTTCAAGAAAAAGATCCAGCAACACGGTTGTAGTAGCCTCCGCATGTCCAAAACCGCACATCGGAGAAGAAAAAAAAAAATTAAAGCAAGAGGGAGGGGGAGCTCTCTTGAAACGGATTTAAAAACAAAAAAGGCGAGGATTCCACACACGCTCACGCATTCCCCCTCCAAAAATTAAAAATAAAAATAAAAAGGCAACACACACACAAAAAAAATCCCCCACAAAACTTGTGGAGGGTGACCAAACTTGTACACTTCCCTCTCCCTCCCCCCCCTCGGCTGGAAACAAAAGGAGAACAATTCTTGACTATTTTCTTTGGACGGCCGCCTCCGCCCCCCCACTCCCAGCTCCGCGCCGTTCCAGTCCTTCTCACACTCCCCAAAGCGCAATAACGCAGCTTCGCTTTCCGCTCCGGAGTTGCACGGTTTGGGATCGCCGCCTTGGGTGCAAAGACGCCCGATTCCCGGAGTTTTGAGTCAGAGGCAGCAGCGCCGCTCAAGGGCCTCGGAAGCCAAACGAACCGCTGTGCGGAAAGTCGGGCGCCCGGAGCTCCCAACTTCGCTCCAAGCCGCCAAGCGAGGATAGCTGGAGAGAAAAAAGCCCCTCGGTCAGGCTCGGACTCTTCATGCGGGCAGCCTCTCGGCAGGCCAGAGGGGAAAAGGCATTCCTGCCAACGGCAGTTCAGTGAGCGGCAGAGGCGGGAGGATTTTGTCCCCTTCCCAAATGATGAGGAGCCCGGAGCAAGAAGGGCAGCAGCGGCGGCGGTGGTGGTGGTGGCGGCGGCGGCGGCGAGGCGGGCTGCCCGGAGCTGCTTTCAATCCATCCCGCTGCTGGAAGTTGGGGCTCCGGCGAAAGCTGGCGAGGCAGAGTCAGGCAGGAGCTGCTGTTGCTGGAACCTTTCCATTCTTCCATACAGGAAGTAACATGTGAGCCTGGATCCTGGCTGAGACTTTAAAGCTGAGAGGGAGCGGGAGCGGAAGAGGGAGAGAGAGAGCGAGAGAGAGAGAGAGGGAAGGGGAGGGGCGGGGGGGGGGGGGGGGGGGGGGGGGGGGGAGGAGGAGGAGGGCTTTGCGCGCACTCGAGGCTCTTAAAGGGGCAACCCAGACGCGCTTCTCGCATCCAGCGGTGCCGGCAAAACGGGGTACCGCCTAGTTTCCAGCCTGTCCCTTCGCTTGCCTTGGGCACTGACCACGCTCTCGTTCGCTCGCATGCCTTGGGTGCTTGCGCTCCACAGGGCTAAAAACACACCGAGAGAGACGCTCCGCATGCATACGACGTCCACTCCAGCGAGTAGAGAGCACGTGCAGAGTCTCCCTCCCCCCCCCCCCCCGCCCTCCCAGGCGGCTAGAGGCCCGGCGTGTCCACCACACGCGCGCCCACCGCCTGCTGGAGGAGCCACGGACGACCGGCTCTCAGCAGTTCAACCTCGCCCTTGAAGGAGCGGTTCATTTACACGCGCAACACGCTGCGCCCCGTGATACTTTTTTTTTTTTAAAGTCTCTGGCGGGGCTACCGAAGGTGCAAACACGCTTTCTCCGAATGCGAGCGCGCACACCTGCCTTGCTTCTCGTATGGAACCCTATAGGAAAAACATCTTTTTTAAAAAAGCCACCACAAAACCTTTTAACGCAAACACTTTGCCACCCTGGCGGGCGCACAAGCCCATTGTTTTTGCTCGGAACTCTTATATTTAAAAGCTCTTCGCACATTACAGGCATTTCTCTCACACCCTTATTTTACAGCCTTTCCCCCTTTTCGGGGACACACGTTCTCCTCCCCCCCAAACACACATACACACACACGGGGGGGGGGGGAAAACACTTTTTCCAGCGCATGCGCACCCGGCCTTTGGGCTAAGCGGATTCGCTCCCTTGCCGTTCACCGCGCTCCCATTGCCAACCAACTAAGGATCCAAAGTCCGCACCGAGCGCGCCCGGACCCGCTTTCCACTGCGCGTGCGCCCAAGGCTTTCTGTCCGGAAAATCTGCAAACCCATTCCTATTTATTTATTTATTTATTTGGCTTTTCCCAAAGTAAGGCTGGCTGCTTATTTCCCCCCCCCCAATTTTCTGACAGCGGGGGGGGGGGGCATAAAGCAATATGGATTTAGCATCGGGGCACCTCTGATCGGGAAAAATGCCATTGCTCTCATCTCTGTGCCTTTTTTTTCTTCCTTTTTTACTACGGTCCGATCATGCATCCTAAAATACTGGAGGTACCTTCTCAGTCGCTCTTCTGCTTTTCTTTCCTTTTTTCCCCCTTCCTTCCTGAGGTTGTTGCTTCTTGATCTTTGTTACGCGCCGGTGGTGGTTGGGTTTTTGGGTTTTTTTTAGACGATCTCAGCATTTGCGATCCTGGGAGAGAGAACGGAGAGGTTAAAAAGGACCTTCTAGCTGTGATCAGACTGAAGCAGAGCTCAGAAGCTAGGCTGATCCTGAGGGAGATAAAAGGGAGCGATTTCCTTTTTAGCCCGGCGTTTAAATAAAAAGCAATCCGGGAGAAGCGTTTTGGGGGGAAATCCCTTATCTGTAATGAGTTTTGTCCCTTCCTTTAGACTGCGAGATTTTTATCGACTTTTAGTTATAAGTAGCACCGTATTTTCCCTTTATGTCTCTCCTAACTGCTGTCTGAGAATTGTTTTTTTCCCCTGATGAAAAGTGTAATTGAGTCAAGATAATTTGGCATTGGTAATACTTTTTTTTAAACACCCTTATCTAAATTGTATCTGAAGGTATTTATTTATTTATTTATTTATTTATTTATTTATTTGTCAATTGCTTACAAGATAATGGGTATAAGTAAAAACACAGTTATGAATAGATACATATAAGAAATATCCCCTTTCGTGTGTGCTTATCCATGTTCTATTTCATTTTGAAAAACATTCGAAAATGTGAGTGAGGACTCTAACTTACCATAAAGTTAATAAAATCGGGGAGAAGGATGGATATATTTGGGGGGGAGGGGGTTGGGGGGACATGGAGAAGGATTCGCCCCCACCCAAGAATGTCAATGGATGTCATTTAGAAGATGACAAAGTCCGAGAGATAAATCCTGTGCTGCCAAAGTCCGAGAGATAAATTTGTTAAAAACTAAGAGAGAGAGAAATCCAGACAGTTCAATTAGGATCTGGCAACTATTCTCTTGTTGCTGTTTTGATTTTGGTCTTTCACCAAAGCAAATACCTGAAATACCTCCTTCCGTTTGATGTATCTAGATATGCTTGGACTAAATGAAGCCTCAACCGATATTGGTGAGGCTGCTTTATGGCTAAATCTGAATCCAATCCATTCTTTGTAACTGTTTGTCTTTAATTGATTATATGTTCACCGGTGGTAAGAGAGTAGGATAAAATAGTCTAGGTAAATAAAGTAATTGCTGTAATTGGGTGCATCAAGATGCAGAATTAGGAGCATTTTGAAAACTTGGCTTTTGTTGTTGTTTTTTACTTGTGTTGAGATAATACACCTTCCTCCCCACCACCCCCCCAAAAAAGATTCTATATATATTCTAAGCATAATGCTTGGATAGGAGTGGTGTGGTGGCTCAGCTGTTAAGATGTTGGGTTTGTCGGCTGGAAAGCTGGCAGCCCAGGTTCGAGACCCAAACACCACACGATGGGGTGAGCTCCCATCCTTGCCCCAGCTTCTGCCAACCTAGCAGTTTGAAAGCATGCAAATGGGAATAGAAAAAGAGGTACCACTTTGGGGGGAATATAACAGCGCTCCTTGATGTCATGCTGGCTTTATTATGGCAGGAATGTCTTTGGACAGCTGGCTCAATGGCCTTGAAACAGAGATGAGCACTGCCCTCTATAGTCAGCAAAAATTAGCTGAGTAAAATCTGCAAGGACTCCTTTACTTTTATAGTATTTGGATAGCCAGAGCTCCCTATCCCGACAGTGTAAAATCCCCATGAATAATCATGAAGGTGGGTGTTTTCATGCAGCTTTGCCCAGGATCTTATACTGAGTAACTTGGAAGTATGCCTTCTTATGTTAAGTTAAAGTTATTGCTACTGACCCATGGATAAATCCAGCTAAACCCAGAAAGGCTTTAACTTTTGATTAAATTATTGAGATTTAAGTGCAATTATTAAATGTTTAAAAGTACATCATTTAAAAATCAATTAGGAATGCATATGTTATTATAAGATACTGCTATTAATACCTTCGAGATAATCAACAATATAAGGTCAAGGTAGTCCTGATGTACAATCAAAATTGAGCCAGAATTTCTGTTGCTAAATGAGACATTGGTTAAGTGACTTTTGCCCTGTTTTACAAACCTTTTTGCTTCAGTTGCTAAGTGAATCGCTGCAATTGTTAAGGGAATCTGGCTTCCCCATTGACTTTGCTTGTCAGAAGTTGCAGAAAAGTGACCACATGACTCTGGGACACTGCAACCGTCATAAAGATGAATCCGTTGCCAAGCATCTGAATTTTGATCATGTCACCACGGCGATTCTGCAGCAGTCATAAGTGAAAAATGCTCATAAAGTTACTTTTTTCAGTGTTGTTGTAACTTTCAACAGTCACTAAATGAACTATTGTAAGTCAAGGATTACCGGCATGCGCAGGCTTTCATCAAAATGTTGAAAGGTGTGATGACTCAGAGTGTAACATAAACATAACAAAATCCAAAATGTAAATAAATGTCCTTTAATACCTCCAACTTGGCCCCACTATTCAATAATTCTCAGTTGGAGATAAAACTTACTCAAAAATAGTCTTCAAAAGAAAGCAATACAGTCCGAGCTTAATGAGTAGATAGAGGTGAAATAAAACCAAACAAACTACAATGAACGCTTCCTCCCTCGTAAGCCAAGTTGTTTCCTCCTCCGTTCCTCCCTGTGTGTCCTAGGATGCAGAGAGGATGGGCCTGGTTCTTTCTCTGCTACCCAGCTGGCCTCTGCCCTACCCCAGCCTCCTCCACAACCTCCGGAGCCACACCTGCACTCCCTGTCTTCCTCTCCCTCAGAGTCCGACTCTACCAAGGGCATGACAAAAGGTTTCTGCCATCACAACTCATGTCTCGTCCCTTTTGGATGTGCCTGAAATATCATAACCTGCATCAAAGGAGAGCAGAGTTTGCATCCCAATGACACAACATTGCCTTTATCATTTGGCCCCCTCTGCTGAGAGCTTGCCAAGAACCATACAGAGCTACTATTATCATTGTGTAGATTTTTCTGTCAACACTTCTTCCAAGGAGTTCCAGGTGATAAATAAACCTCATGACTCATCGTCTTCCTGGTGTCTTAAATGGAGGAAAGGCATGGCACAATATGCTAAATCATGGCTTGTAAACCAAACAAATGGTGATGTGATATTTGTGTTGACTTAAAGTACTGTGAATTCAACCACTTTTTTTTTTTTTTGTAAATGAGTTTTTCATATTGGACACATTCAGCCAACCATAGTGTGATCAATAAACCATGGTATCTTGTCTTGCATAATCTCAGCCAATGATGGATAGAACAACATCTAGCAAATTTCATGGCTGAGCAGAAACCTGGATCTGGATTTCAATCCGCAAATAAGGTCAATAAAATTTCACTCTACTTTGCTTGCACACATTATATACTATGGTAAATAAGTGCAAGAAAAGAATGGACAAACATTTATCCAATGGTCTAAGGATTCCCGTCTTGGACAGGAGGTTGGACTAGAAGACCTCCAAAAACTCTTCCAGCCATATGCTTCTATGATAGATGTAATGAGCAAAAGAAACTACAGGTGTAATAGGAAAGAAAAGAAAAAGAAACACAGACAGATCTACTTTACACCCAAACCAGTGGTAGTATTCTACCGGTTTGGCCTGGTTCTGCAGAGCTGGTAGCAGTGATGAGCAGCAGAGACCGAACCGGTTCTCTCCACCATTCTGCTGTTGGGTCCACCCACCCACCCGGGCTCCCCTCGTGCACGC